AATGACCCAAAGCACACAGCAAAAATTACCACACATTGGTTGAAGGAGAAAGAGGTGACTGCCCCTGTATGGCCCCTGCATGGCCTAGTCAGTGCCCCGACTTAAACCCCATTGAAAATCTGTGAAATGACTTGAAGACTGCAGTCCAGAAATGGTCACCATCAAATTGAACTGAACTTGAACAGTTCTGCAAAGAAGAGTGAGCAAATACTGCAAAGTCTAGATGTACAAAGTTAGTCTATCCCAACAGACTAAAGGCTGTAATTAAAGCAAAAGGTGGTTACACAAAATACTGACTCATTTTATTTTTGTCTGACATATTGTTGTTAAAACTTTCACTTGCATGTTATATGTCGCACTGAGTAATACGGCTGTGATAAAACAAAAACTGTGCCTGTCTTCATTTCAGGCTGTAAAGCAACAAAATGTGAATATTTTAAAGGGGGGGGGGTGATTCTTTTCTATACCCAATGTAACTGTAACAACTGCTAGTGTACTTCTATTAGCTCTTAACCAAACCGTCGGTCTATTAAATGGCTGATTTTAAAACTGATCACATATGCAGGACCATAGTAACTGCAGATCAAACAAAAGCAAGTTCCTTGGCTGTAAAGGTTGGGTTGGGGGGGGGGGTTTAGTTCCGCCTTAAGCTTTTGAAAGTTCCGCTTTCAAGTACATTTGAAAATTGTGCACAGGGGACACTGTGCATCATTTACTTTGAAAATGCACAACACTATGCCGATTGGTTGCACAGGGGACACATGTACATTTGACAATTGTGCACAGGGGACACTGTGCATCATTTACATAGGTTTGTGCACAGGGGACACTGTGCATCAATTACATAGGTTTGTGCACAGGGGACACTATGCATCAATTACATAGGTTTGTGCACAGGGGACACTATGCATCATTACATAGGTTTGTGCACAGGGGACACTGCATCAATTACATAGGTTTGTGCACAGGGGACACTGTGCATCAATTACATAGGTTTGTGCACAGGGGACACTATGCATCAATTACATAGGTTTGTGCACAGGGGACACTGTGCATCAATTACATAGGTTTGTGCACAGGGGACACTGTGCATCAATTACATAGGTTTGTGCACAGGGGACACTATGCATCAATTACATAGGTTTGTGCACAGGGGACACTATGCATCAATTACATAGGTTTGTGCACAGGGGACACTATGCATACATAGGTTTGTGCACAGGTGACACTAGGCATCAATTACATAGGTTTGTGCACAGGGGACACTATGCATCATTACATAGGTTTGTGCACAGGTGACACTAGGCATCAATTACATAGGTTTGTGCACAGGGGACACTATGCATCAATTACATAGGTTTGTGCACAGGGGACATTATGCATCAATTACATAGGTTTGTGCACAGGGGACACTATGCATCCATTACATAGGTTTGTGCACAGGGGACACTGTGCATCAATCACATAGGTTTGTGCACAGGGGACATTATGCATCAGTCACATGTGTGAGCAGAGTACACTGTGCAATATTTATATACTGTACTTTTGAAATGTGTGTGTAAATGTTCTAAAAAAACAAGGCAATGGCAACCAGGATTTGTCTGGGTCTGTATTACACATGCAGTACTGTATATTTACATCTACTGAGTGGTTGTAAATGTGTGAAAATGTGTCAGTTAAAAACATAGGGAAATACTGCTTACCATGGTGAATGGCTGTATTTTGCTGGCTCCCAACTTTTCATTGTTGCATTAACACCCTGAATAGAACTCCAATAATAAGTGTTTTCATCACTTTGTATTGTACAAATTTCTTCTTGCTTACTGTATTGACAGCAAGTGAAGGGAGATGGCTGGCCAGACGAGCACTTACATATGAACAGCGGCAGTGCTGGGCATTGATTTATATAGAGTAGAAATCATACAGCTGCTGCTGGTCATACACAGATTGTGCAGGCAATGGTTAGTACCACCGGTATGGATCTGGCCACCGCGATGCACCAGTTTGAAGGCAGTTTTTAATTCTGTAACCTGAGATTCCCTATCATTCAAATGAATAGTCTGCTGTGTCTGAGCAAACACAGATACCCGAAACTGCAGAGGTGTAGGCCAATGCCTCACCTTCCTCTGAAGTGGTGGCCTGGGTTATAGCTCCCATGGCACTCAGCAGCTGAAGATACGCACCTTTCTGTATAAGCAGTTAGTTTATTTTAAGTTCAAGACATTTTACTTTTTTTGTAATCTTGTTACAAAATACATTTCTGTTGTTTGTTTTTTATCCGTAGGTTTTAGTGTTTCCTGTATTTCTGTGGGTATCCTAATCAACTAACACAGTAACCATGTTTGCAGCTAAAATAGGGTCAGCTCTGCCAGTAATATTTCTACAATACAGGATAGGAAGGGTAATCAGACAGAGCCTGACATCGGCATGCTTCTCTTAGGTTGATCGGGCCCTGCTGCCGCTCTCTGCTGACCTTTCCAAGTAGGCCAAATAAACAATATCAGCGGTGTTTAGATTTCAGACTGGTTTGCCTAGCAACTAATTTATTGCAAGAATATGCTTGTGTAAAATAATGTGTTGAAGAACGGCTGTCTTCTGACAGATTTCCTTTGCTAGAAATAATGACATTTAGTGTAAAAATACACTTTTTAGGAGAGAAAGGAATAGGAGGACTGTGTATTTGGTATGTCATCTCCATCAACATGCAAGTTGATCAAAAAGTTAACATGCACTATGCCCACACAAGGTAAAGTAACTGGCACAGGGCACAGCAAGGGCTTATCACGTACTCTGTTCAATTACTGACCAAATCAAATATATCAAAGAAATTCCTTTAAAATTTGCAAGGCATGTCAGACATGACCACATGCATCTAAAAAGCACCACTTTGAAAGAGCACACCATAAAAAAAAGAAAGATATGTGAATGCAGCCTCAAAGTTCCAAACATTTTGTGAGAAATCCCTTATAAAACAAAATGAAAGGGATGTTGTCATGAGTTTGATGTGTGTTCCCTTTAAATGTGTCAAGTGGGGCTCCTTTCTCCTATCTGTTTGGTCAGTCTCTCTTCACCTGTGTTTCATCTGTTCTGTGTTTATGTCCATTCACTGGTCAGGGTTGATGGGTTCTTCTTATTAACAGCTCTAGAACTTCAGCCTCAGCTGTCCCTCTGTCAGGGGTAGCTACACAGACAGTGGTAGCTATTTCAGGGAGTCCTAATTTTTATATTGACAATGTGCAGTAACTGCAGCACCCAATGACATATAAGCTTTTTGTAAATTAATGATTTTTATTGTTCATGTGGATTATTGCACTTTGATTGCATCATTGCCTTTGATGACCAGCCTGTTAGAAATTAAAATTCGACCTTTGCTCATATAAAACACTTTTCCTCCCTACACCCCCTGCTGCCCATCCCCTTCCCCACCATCTGAAAAGCTGATTCAATTTACTTTTTTTATTTTGTACACTGGGACCCTACCTCCCACCTACATTTTTGCGTAAGGTAGAATAACATCCCCTCCGCTGCTGGAGCCTCCTGGGATATGCACATCACAATTCCCAGGAAGCATCAGCTTCAACACAGAAGCCAGTTGAGGGCAGACCTAGCAGTGCATCATTAGGAGGCTGCCTGAACCAAAAAGAGACAGCTGGTTCCAGATGACGTCAGAAAGAAGGGGACGTACAAGACCCAGCATGCAACAACAAATCAGCAGGCCACAGCAGGACAATGCTGGATTCACTGGGTGTGAGACTATGGTTTTTTTTTAGAACAATCAAGCCAGTGGGGAAGTGAAGCTGCACTTTAAGTAGAAAATCACTTTATAATATGTCTAGAGCTTAGCTATAAAGGGAAAGTGATAAATTATCTTTAATGAATAGCTTCTGAAGCTATTAACAAATACTGGAATCTGTCTTCATATATTTAAGTAATTTTGTTCATATAAATACATTAAGATACTTGAAGTGCTATGAATTCCATGGGATTGCAAAAGATGCTATAAAAGGTATATTTAAGTGTTTTTTATGTGTTAAGTTTTAAGTAGGTGCCTTTAAAAAAAACTTCTGCATACAGTTCCCCCAGCCCCCTTTATAGTTACCTGAGCCGATCTTGATCCAGTGATGTGGCTCTCTCTCCTCACGAGACAGAAAGGTAGAGAGTCAACAGTGAGAGCCATTGGCTCCTGCTGCTGTCAGTCATAGCCAGTGAGGAGGGAGCTGGGGGTGCCGAGCCATGCTGTATGTTTCAATGGATACACAGAGCTAGCTAGAAAGCAAGCACACACAAGTGCCCCTAGAGGACCCAAGAGCACCGGCAGGGGACCCAAGAAGAGGAGGATCTGGGCTGCTCTGGGCAAAACCATTAGGCTACGTTCACACTAGCCTTGTGTGCAGGCGGCAGAGAGGCGTTTGGGAAGCGTTTTTACCGCTTCCCAAACGCCTCTGCCAATTCTGCACATTACAGCACATGGTGCTGTTCTAACGGGAGCGTTTGCGTCGCGTCAAAACAGACGCCTCTGGACGAGTCAGGAGGCTTTGAAGCCTCCTATTCTCGTCTATGGTGCCGCTCCGCAAACGCCCGGCCGGCGTTTGCGACGCGGTTGCGGGGCGTTTGCGGAGCGGTAACACCACTCAAACTGCATTATAGGCGTTTGTGGGCGTTATTAACGCTCGGCAAACGCCTAGCAAGGGCCGCTAAACCGCGCATGCGGCGTTTGCGGAGCGTTTTGCCGAGCGTTAATAACGCTCCGCAAACGCCGGACCAACGCTTGCCAAACGCTATAGGGGCGTTTGGCAAGCGTTGGCAAAACAGCCTAGTGTGAACGAGCCCTTACAAGAGCAGGTAAGTATGACATGTTTGTTTGTTTTTAAACATGTTATCTTTAGAATCACTTTAAATGTTTATATAAATATTGGTGTTGAACTGGTTCTGAATGCATCTGAAATCCTTATTCTTCTATGTATTTTAACTTACAGGAAGGGACTTCTTGATTTACCAGAATGGAAGACTGTCTTCACACATCTTCAGAAAACCTCTCCAAATTAGTGAGTTGGGCTCATAGTCATGGGACAATTTGTAGCCTTATTCCAAACCTGAAGCACTTACTTTCTGAGGGCTCCCATGGGACTCTTACAGCTATGTGGGGATGCAGTGCTGGACATGCATACCACTGGCCATTGACTACAACATGTAGGGCTGGTCCTCAGGAGAGAGTATGTTTCCAGGACAGCAGAAGTTTCAACTCAGACAGTCCTAGTATAATAGGTGTGCCCTCAGAGACTCAGACTAGTCCTTTGGATAGGTACCCTGGGAGACCAGTAAAATCAAAACTTGACTGTAACAGAACAAGAGACTCCTGTGACTTTTCCTACTGTAGTGAACCTTCGGAGCTGGATGAGCCTGTAGAAGAATATGAAGATGAAACCACATTATTTGACATGGTGTGTGAATCTTCTGCAACAGATGAGGATAGTGACTTTGAACAGACAGTCCAAAGTCACACCTAATGTTACCCGCAAGAGGCCTAGTGGTGGTGTTATCTCTTCTGTTTCCGGACCTCAGTCGCACATTGTGGATGAGGACAGTAGTGATGTGCTTGTGAAAAAAATTAAACAGGAAAAACCTGAAGACTACTATATTGTTGCTAATGCTGAACTTACTGGAGGCGTTGATGGTCCCTCACTGGCCCTGACACAAATGGCCAAGCCGAAGAACCAAACTGCCAACACAACCCCTTTTGTGGGACCATCCAAACCACCTAACATTTTGTCACCATCTCTAAATAACGAGCTTGAAGTACAAGCTATTGCACCTTCTTCTTTGGTCCTGCAAAGACCCACACCTCAAAAGCCTGTGAGACCACCATTGTCCTCCCAAAGCAAAATACCATCTAACCCTCCGGCTGTCAATCAGCAGAAGGGAATACAGATGACAGTCAGTACTTCCACAGGAAATCCTAGCCAGCCAATTAACATACCTTTATCAGCACTTCAATTGCCAGGACAGGAAAAAAAAGAGGTCTCTGAAGAACTTCTCCCACCTGTACTGAAGCCAGCATTATCCAGTGACATGGCCCTCTCCCCATCAATGAATGCAGAGCCTGAAGTAAGTTCCAGCCAGCAGCAGCCAAATACCATCCCTAATATCAGCTCTGAGGCAGCAGCACAGTCCATTCCAGGTATGTAACTGTGTGCATGTGACCATTAATGCTGTTCTATACATTGAATAATACCGAATCTATTAATGCTCAGAACAGAACATTACATAGCATTAGACTGGATGAAAATGATATTATTGTAATTTATTACTTTATTGTCTTTGTACGTGATTTTCACACGTCAGTTTTAATCTATGTATAGTTTTGCCTTAGTAGCGTATCCTAAGAAATCATGCATAATTTATTTTGAACAGACGGGCTATTCATTTGGCAAAAGCTCTTATGTGATAGCTATAAGTCCCAACAATTGAAAATTTATTAAAGCACGCTTTAAGGATTGATTATTACAAGTAATGCATACAAAAATTACATTTCTTGCTTCAATCAATGAAGAAATATGACAGGTCCTAAAGTCCCCTTATAAAGTAGGATAGATCTACTGAGATACGCCTAGCTAGTCCTAAAAATGCTCACTCCCGTGATAACACCTATGTTGACTAATCTGTTTAAGAAAGATGTACATGTTTTATATACTTACCTATTTTTAGCCTGCTTTGGTCATGTGATCTGATTCCCCTGTATCAGTCAGCAGCAGCTGCAGGTGAGAGAAGGGAGTGCCGACAATGGATGAACCATAGGGGTCTATGGGGGAAGTCAACACTGCAGACTTTACTAGCTTTACTCAAACTTCTCTGCTCCAGGCCAATTACATCCTCTTTTAGGTCCCTCCATTCCTGGCCAGTGCCTGTCTACTTCTTTGTCTGTTAGCATGGTGCCAGTTGTATTGTAGCAATAGGCTTTCTCTCACTTAGGAGTAGCAATAAAAAGGTATGTAGTACTGATGCTGGAGCCTGTTCTGTTGTTGCGATGCAGGAGCTAGGAGAATGAATGACTGTTCAGGTGGGGTAGACAAGCAGTACTGAATCATCCATGAACAATACAGCTGCCCGGCATGTGTATGTGTTGTGGCCCCCATCTCGTCTCCTCAGTGCTCTGATTATATGGTCAGGCAGCACGCTGTCCAGTAACAAAGTTAGCTCAGAAGCTTTGGGCTGTACCACCTTTCTCTTACACCCACCACGCTTATGCCCCACTCTCTTCTGTCACCACCTATTGTGTCTGCAGCCCCCCTTCCCTTCCCATTGCCTGTGCCTACAGCTACTCCTTTGATTTGCAAACCAATGGATCCCCCAAGACTCCCTGCAGCCCCTCTTCTCTCACCACATAGTGCTCCTGCATTTTCATTTTCTCACCAACCACCACATCTTTTATTACCAACCGCACCCTCCACTGTGCCTGCAGCCTCCCTTTTTTTTTACCTTCTTTGACATCTGGCCCTCCTTTTCTTACCACCCTCCATGCTTCCCCATCCTCTCACCAATGCTCCTGTACATATCCCCACACAATCTCAACCTATGCCTGTATATCCCACCCCCCAATCCCAGGGTTGTAGTTACACACCGCTCCTCTGATCTTATCATTTCAGTATCACCCCCACTGCAACTACAGGCCTCCATTCACCAAGTGACCCCAGCAGTTTACCTGCACACCCTCACCCTGTTTAATTAGGCATACCCTAGTTTCTTTTAGTGAGTAAGTTGAAGAGCAACCCACAGAACACCAATGTAAAATGTAGCTTATTTCTTTACTATAGCGGGTGTATATAAAAATACAAAACTTTATTTTATTTAGGAAAGAATACAGAATGGCTAGAACTCCTGTCAGGTTTTTTTTGTGTGATTTATGTCCCATTAGGGAGATTTCCTTCACGTCCTGTCTTAGAGATACAACTGGAAGTGAGTGGAAATTTCTCTAAAGTAAGGGAAATTCCCTTTCAGACAGCTATCACTGTAACAAATGCCACTACTGGAGGATCTCCCCTCATTTTCTGTTCTGCAGACAGCAATTAAAACCTCAACAATACCTCAGGCTGTCCTGCACAAAGACTCCTCACAACTTCAGATAGACAAGGTTCTCAGCAAATGATGGCAGAATTATGTATATAGTATTGAAATCTTGTCAGAGGTTCTAACCCTTGACCACTTTTTGCAAAAAAAAAAAAAAAAAAAGTTCTATATATAGAAAAACTTGAATGTCTGAAAGAGCTTTACAATGTGAGATGGTTTTACAAGGTTAACTGTTTCATATATAGAGAGATTTTTTTTAGTCCAGCAAACCTGACTGCTATGTGCTGGTTGGTCATTAGGTCAGAGAAATGCAGATTGGCAGGTTCCTTACCAACCATTGTCAATAGCAGATCTTGAAGAGTTACTTTTGGTATTGACTGTATTGTATTGGGAGGCTCTAGGTATAAGCTAAGTGTAAATGTAGCTGCAGCAGATGTACTATATGATTTGTTTCCAAAAACGAGGTCAGCTGACATTTCGTTTTTGGTTCTGGTTAATTTCTGGAAGTGACAAAAAGAAAAGAAATACCTCCAGTCAAACTGCACAGCATATACTGTGTGGGGCAGCTGACAGATGCCCCATAGTAAGCCTATGGGTGACGTCACTACACAGGCATTTGCAGCCACTGTCAGCAGTCTCTTTAATTCACTGAAGCCGCCGCTGGAGAGATCGTGTGATGGACCAGAGTGTCTTCAGAATAGGTACGTATTAGCAACTCTTCTTAAACAGGTTAGATTGAATAGTCTTGAATGGGGGTGGGAGTTGGTTTACCCTTAGTTAAAATATGGCTGAACTTCTACTTTAAGATATTATGGTGACTCCAGAATGTACAAGGTTTAATATGAGGTTTACCAACAGGACAATTCCAATTTAAACCCTAGTCCCAGCATAAATACACTTTTAAAGCATACTTCAAAATTAATTTCTAGAAAGGGAACAATTGAGCAAACACACTCTGAAGCTGCTTAAAGGGTAACTCAACTTTCTAAAAAAAATATTACAAATAAAATACAAAAAGCATATACAATTGTGACACAAGCCATATTGTAATATAAGGGTATTACAAATTACCTTTTTCAATCTGCAGCACTGTCAGTTTCTGTAAAATGCAATGTAATATGGAAACCTGGAGGAGTTCTGTACACAGCTGGTACAGGGAATACCCTAGCTTGTGTAATTGATTGTGTAACTGATTTTCTCAGATGTCTGCACTAAGTCACAAATCAAATTTTGGGCATCCTCTGCAACAAAAATGTAATTTCTTGTGAGATACTTCCAAAGGGTTGATTACGTTTAAAGGGATACGGACCCTGCCACTTTCCTTATTAGAACCCTGGAAGTGCATCAGTTGATTAATAATGAAAAATCACTCCCATTCACATTCACTTTGCACATGGGCACAGAAAAACACAGCTATTTCTTCAGAATAGCAAAAGGTAGGAATCTGCAACAATTTTTTTTTTTAATCCCTGCAATTTACATGGGTAATCCAAAGGGGAGTTTTTATTTCTCAACAAAAGTGAAGTTTATTTTTAAATATTTCATTGATCTCTCTTCTCTCTCTGTTCTACTCAGACTGTGAGATAATCAGATGAATTTCCACTGATTTTAATGTGAGAATATAAATCTAAACATAATGTAAATCTGTTGTTTGGATTACATAATCACATTATACTTCTCAGATTCCATCAGAAAGCATGGTGTAAAAATGATTGCTACTTTAGCGGAACAATGTAGAGAATAATGTAAATAATTGATACAAAAAATATATGAAAACATCTCACAGGAAGAATCGCAGCTGGCAACGAGGACTAATTATATTCTGTCTCACCTGGATATATCGGCAGGGCCTCCAGTGCTCAACTCACATCACACATGTATGAGATTTACAAAATACTATTTGTAATGAATTAAAAAAAAAAGCCAAACGTGAGAGTGGCTATGAACAGCATGCATAGTTGAACAAATAACATAAAGGCATGATCTGATGGAAGAATGATCCCCTTGTTCAGGAAAGTGGAATCTTATTATTTTTTCTTTTCGTGTGCACCGACATGCCTTGTTCATTATAGCAATTATGTTTCTATGGTTATTTTTATAACTGCTGTTTAAAAGGTAATATACTAACCGGTTCTGTTTAACCAGTGCAACAAAATGCCATTTAAATTAATGAATCAATAGCATAATAAATGATTTCATGCTGGTAACCAACATATTACTTAGACCAGGCATGCTCAACCTGTGTCCTGCGGGGCCATCTGATGTGGCACGTGACCTCAAACCTATGGCAACCTGCACAGCCTCCTTCATCAAATGAAAATTCGAAATTCAGAAGCAATTTCATTTCAAAGTGCCCCGCAACGGGCTACCAGATCACTTAAGTGGCCCATGCTTTTAAAAAGGTTGAGTACTTCTGACATAGCTAGTCATCAGATACCCACTGCTGGTGGGGTTGTTAAGATGCCCTATAAATGAATATCTACATCAAAATCTACAAAAAACACATTTTATGTAATTCAGTTTGTTCTTTAGTCTTACAAACACATTCAGTAAATTACTACAGTTAGATTTCTTCCTAGCTCTAACATTCTGTAGGACATATGGTCCTCACGTGGTTATACTGTGATAATAGTTGCACCTGGAGGCATCAACCCAGTATCAGAATTTTCTGCCCACAATTCTCTTTTAGGCAGAAGTGAAAACAGTCACTTGACCACTTCTGCGGGTGGCAGAATGGTGTCTCTCCCTCCTGCTGCCACCATGGCACTACCAGAGAGAGAAAGAAAAAACAACGGCATTCCTCCCTCTCTGTGATCCCTGAAACCGGAAGCAGTGAGGATTTTGTCACTTCCAGTTTTGGCTCTTTGTTTACCTGACCGCTAGTGCTCGAGTAAGCAGCCAATCAAACCGACCTGTGTCTGATCGACTGCATTGGAGACCAGAGGAGAGATTTGGGGTCTAATAGACCTCAAATCTCTCTATTAAGAGGACCTGTCACAGCCCATGCTTTCATAAGGAATGAATCACAAGAGATCAATAAAGTTGATAAAAAAAACATTAGGGACAATGTAAAAATGGTTCAAATAAAATACATAAAAATAAAATATAATTGGC